GGCAGCCCCGCGGCCGGCATGGGCATTGGAGAAAGGAGCAGCCAGCGGCAATCAGGCCATGGAGTCTCCAGGCCACCCAGCTGGAAAAAGCGCCCCAGAGCAAGGAGGGGACGCAGGAGTGGGACAGCCCCATGGCAGCCCGGTGGCAGCACAGCCAGGGTCTCCGGTGCAGGGCAGCTCAACGGCGCTGGCTATCTCCCCAGAGGGTTCGGCGAGGAAGAGCCCTAGCAGCGCTTCCCGCTCGGAGCCCGGGTTACGGGGTCCCCCGCGTGACCACCCCCCGAGCCCAGCCCTGGAGACTGCACCCAAAATGCCCGTTTCCCCGGCGCGGGAGGAGGCGAGCGGGGAGAGAGCGGGTGCTGAGCCCAGCTCTCCGGCCGGCTCCCCAGACGTTGTGAGGCCCAAGGTGCCGGGACAGCCGAGAAAGAGCCGCAAGCAACGTGGAGCCAGCGCCGTCGAGGCAGCCCAGGGGGACAGGGAGCCTGCGGGAGCTGCAGCACAGGGGACTGGCGTACCCGCAAAGGCACCTTTAAGCTCACCGCTGTCCTCACGAAAGAGTAAAGGGAAGGAGAAGGCAGCCAAGCCAGCTCTTGTGAAGCTGGGGAGCGAGGAGGCAGGGGAGAGCAAGCGGCCAGCGCCCAGCCCTAGCACGGAGGAGGGCGATCCAGCCTTGAGCGCTACCCCCAAACAGAAGGCGAAAGAGCCGGGAGCACAGCCCTTGGGGAAGGCGAAAGCCACCAAACATTCAAAGCCAGGGCAGGCTGGTGGCTTGGGCGTACGTGACAATGTGCCGGTGATCTCTGCCAGCGGAGCTGCGGCTCCTCCAGGAGAGGTATGCCAGGAGGTGCCAGAGAAGCCTCTCCATCCCAAGAGCGTGGTGGCTTTTGGAGGGGATGCTGCTGAGGTACCCCATGGGGAGCCTGCAGCTGAGACCCCCGCGGAGCTGGGTCCCCCTTGCTTTGCAGCCGGGACCTCTTCAAGGGCAGACACCCTGGACGTGACTTGGCCTGAGATGTATGAATATTTGTTCTGTGACTCCCAAGGGGAAGAAGAAGGAATGGGGAACTCAGTGGAGGGGGAGAAAACACCCTTGGAAAGGGAAATATCCTTGCCTGAACTGTATGAATATTTTTTCAATGAACCAGAAGGAAACAGGAAAAAAGTCAAGGGTAAAGACAGGAAGCGAAAGAAGTTCAGCAGCTTGGGCCACGCTCAGCTGCAAAATGAGGATCTCGACTCATCTCCAGTCAAAGACTCCGTGGTTATCTCAGTCCCAGAGGTATACGAACACTTCTTTCCAGATGGGCCTGGGAACAGGGCGGGCTGGAGAGGGATTTTCTCAATCGCTCCAACCTCTGAGGTGAAGAAAGCTGTGGGGGCTTTGAAGTCCCTCCTGCAAAGGCCAATGCATCTCGTCAGAGGCCAAGCCCCAGCCCCCCAGGCTCTCCTGCGGAGAGGATCGGGAGAGAAGCTTTCCCTCGTCCCGCTGGGAAGAGGCGAGGCACGGCCAGAAAGTTTGGACATGGCCCTTGCACTGACAGGTAAAGCACTGTTACCCCCTGCCCGCTGCCCGACCGCCCCGGCTTGCCGCTGCATGTAGAGATGTGCCTCCGCCTTGCGGGGTCTCCTGTGCTCCCACCGCCCCTCGGGAAGCCTGGCAGCCAGCTCTGGCCCTGCTGCAGCCACCTCCGCTCCAGCCGCAGCGGCATTAGTGCCACCGTACAGATGGGTGGCATTTTGGTGGGCTCCGCCAGGTGTAGCTGGTCTGAAGTCCCGCTCCTGGCACGTGAACCTTGCCGCACAGCAGCCCTGGGCTTTAGCAGGAGAAGCGTGGCTAAAGCCACCGCCGTGACGTGCAGTGTTGCATTGGCTCTCTCTTGCGATGCTCACGCTGTCCCTATGCGGAGCGAGTGCCGCTGGCCAGTCCCTGCGGGCTGGCTCCCAGTGCCGTGGGAGGCATGGACAGGGAATCCGGGTATATTCTATGCATAACTCGCTTTGCTCCCCGCAAACTCCTGTCCTGGGGCAGAGGTGGTCATGGCAGCACTCATGCAAGAGGCTGAAACTCAGCCTGGTCTGAAGTGCCTCTCCCAGCTCATTCAGTTCTCATCCTGAATGGTTATAACTTACTGTAGATCTAATCTATTCTTTTGCACTCTGGCCAAGAAAAACTTACTGAAGCGGATAGCTGCGTTAAACATGGCTGGTGTTACTGCAAGGTCTGGTAGAGATAGGGATCCCCTACCCCAGTGCCACCCAACTGCCCACAGAACCACATACCTGTATTTCTGATGAGGGAATGGGAGGCAGAGCAGCAAAATCCTTCTGTACTGAAGAACTTGCACCCCTGAGATAAGGCAATGGCTGCTGAGCTGCTGCCCTGTTAAAGTCGGGCTGCTGATCGATCTAATATTGGTGGGGGGAAAGGTGTGCACAGAGTGGAACGCATCCAAGGCTTCCAGCTGAAAGAGGTGAGGGGGACTTTAAAACACACGATAATTTGAAAAACACCCTCCAGAGACCTCAGAGGTTACCTGAATATTGACTGTTACAGAGGCAGGCAAGACAAACAGGAATAAAAGGAGAGCAAGTCCGACCCACTAGGACAGCCAGCATATTTATCTTAAAGCATATATGATGCTTACAGCCACAGTGCCTCACAGTTAATATTAAAACCAAACAATGAATGAGTCATCCCAAAGGGTGCCTCAAAATAGAGCTTCCAGTCTGTTTGCCGTGGTCGTAGCTAATTAATAAGCCAACTTTAATTAAAAGCCTGATCAAATAAACATAGGAGCAAAAATAACCTATTCTTGCAACACGTCTTCAAGTCGTGCCAGACTGGAACTCCAGCAGAGAAGGAAACGCAGAACACTCCGAGCTGTCTCCCTCCCTGGACCTAGCAGGTGGTGGGATTGAGGTGGGATCCATGGAGAGATACGGAGCACTGATGGTCCTCAGGGACATATGTGTTGTCCTAGAGCTCTGCGCGTCTCAGGGCATTTTCTTGCAGGAAGGGGACCTTGCCCAGAGGGACCTGCCTGCAGTCCCGGCACATCGGCAGCCAGCCCAGGAACTGCTCTCTCCTAAGTCTACTCCCCAGACCCGCTTCCAGCCATCACAGAGGGATGCGCTGGGAAGATACGCAGGGAGGTGGTGAGGCAGTCAGAGGTCCTGCAGGCAGCATGTCTGCTGGCTGTGCCTCCCAGTCCCATGGGTGGCATCAACAAAGATTTGTCTCAGGCTCTTAACAAAGTGTAAAACTGAGAGGGGTGAAAAATGTGCCCCTCTCCTTAGGAAACGTACCTGAGTCCTAAATAGATATGTTTGACTTGACCGACAGTGAAAAAAGGTCTTCTGGGAGGGAAAACTTGTGACAAATGTCTTTCTCTGGGAGTGGAAGGGACTCACTGTCCCAGAGGGACTGGAGCCATCCGTGGCAGAGGAGGAGTTGTAAAACCCCAAGCCTCATGCTCTTCTTCTCGCAGGGGGGCCTGAGGTTCCGCTGGCGCTGACCCACAAAGACATGTGCCTCGTCTTCTGTGCCTTTGCATCCTGGGCAGTGAAGACCTCCGACCTGCAGGCTCCGGATGCCTGGAAGACCAGTATGTATGGTGCCCAGCCTGGTGGGAGAGGGGTGAGAGAGGGGTGGGAAAGACCTTGTGGAAGACGTGGCGGGGAGAAAGGCAAGGATGCTAATGCACCTAATGCCTGTGGGAAAATGCAGTCATTTTCCTGCTTTTCCAAAGTGTCACATTACTTTCTCATACTTTCTCTCTGCTATAGAAATGATTCCTACTCACTTATGTTGTCCTTTCCCCACACAAAGTGACTGCTGACTCAAACTGAGCCGTAGGAGAACTCGGTATTCCTAGTTTTGGCCCCACTGTGACAGGGACCAGTACCCATATGTCAGGGGAAAAGAGGCTTCTTTAGGATCCCTGCTGGCTAGAAGCTGAATCGGGACCTCCAGTATGCAGGTTTATACTCCTTCATCTCAGCTGGAACAAATGCACACATTTTTCTAATGTGCTGTAAAGGTATAATCTTTTTTCTAAATACAGCTTAGCTGAAGTATTATCCTGGTGCACTGAGTCCCGCAAGCAAACGGAGCTCTGTCAGTTCCTCTCCTCTCCAACCGCAGCACTTGAATAAACTGGTGGGGAGAGAGGAAGCTCGGACAGCACGAACGAGCTGAGCTGTGGCTCAAAGGGTGCGGGTCGCTGGATGAGCAGGACACAGGACAGGGAGTGCAGCAGTCCCACCTGTGGGGTCCAGTCCGTGGGCACCGGAGAGCCCCAGCCACGGGGCGAGACACCGGGGCCAGGTCTTCCTGCCCCTTGTCTGGGGGAGGAATGTTCCCCACTAAGGTCACGCAGGAAGCTGACACCCCAGGGCTGAGAATAGCTCATTAGCTAAAGTTGCTCAGTGCAATCATCACAAGGAGCTTTTGGCCTGCTCCTCCTTGCCTTCTTAGTACGAGACGGTAGACGTGGCCTCAGAGAGGGTGCGAAAAGCGAGATATGGGCCTCGTGCCCTCAGGATCGCATAACCCAGCGTGCAGTAAGCACCCGGAGAGGAGGGGAGGCGAGAGACAGTTTGACATCCTGGACTAGCAATTCTCTTTTGGCATTTTAGGTTCTAACAAGGTGAATTGCCCTGTCTATGTCCCAGGCTCTAAGACGTAAATCAAAATCAAGTCTGAATTTAAACTGGGAAGTCCAAAGGCATGGCTTGGGTTCCCAGTTTTGTTTGGGCACAGATCAGGGGAATTTGACCTTTCTTATGAGCAAAGCTAAAAACATTAGCTGAAAGTACAGAGAAGAGCTTGATTCTGTGTATAATCTCCATTAGTTATTTTTTGTCTCTCTAACATTTTCTGATTCTGGGTTTGGGGTAGTTTCTGCTTTTGGCTGGGATTAGAGTATCCACAGATATTTTTCTTGGCATCTTGGTCTGAAGAGAAGTAGAAAATGAAGGGACTGTCCTGGTGAGATTTCCTACTGTGGCCTTCTCATCCAAGTATAGACCCATTAGATCTCCACGTGAACCTGTATATCTAACCACCAGCTGTCTCTACCACACACGTGAAGTCTGTGTTGCCTTTCCCTTAAAAACAGCTATTTCTTGTGAAATGGTGGTGTGATGCGTGTGCCCAAACTATAGGACTAGATGTGGTTGGCCAGGCTGTGGCCAGCTCAGGACTGAACGCACTGGGAACAGGCACGGTGTGGTGGGGATGAAGAGCAAAGGGAGGAGGGCTCTGAGAAAAGGAGGGGAGCGACTCCCCCCTGGGACCCATGGACCAGAGTGAGCCAAGTAGCTTGTGATCTTCAAGTTTGGAAAAAGATCTTCAGGTTTGGAAGAAGCACCCAGACTCACTCTGGAAATGTGTTGGGCTCTTTTCCAGTGTTCCTGGCAAGTTTTGGCACGCTTTCTGCCATCCGCTACTTCCGAAGGCAGGTCAGAGAAGGACACCCCCGGACCTAGGCTCAGCGCACACCGCAGGTGCTTCCTGAGGACAGGCGAGGACAGTGGAGGCAGAGACCGGGGACTTTGTTCTTGGGCAGTGTGAGAAGCCTGGATCCCAGCACCAAGACTTCTCTGGACCCATCCCCAAAGGGGACAGGATGTCACAGGAAGCAGGATCCTTCTGGTGACAGTCATTTACAATACGGTAGGCAGTTTGTACCTCTACTGGACAGAAGAGGAGCCCGGCGTGGGCTGGCTCTGTTCTTTCTTTGCACACTTCTAGCATACTTGTGCTATCTCCTAGGAGTAGTCACAGTGTCTGTTCCAGGGCGCTGCTTGTCCGTCCTCCCTGCTGAAGTCACCTGGTGGCAAAAGAAGGCACTGAGGTGGTGGAGGGAGGAGAGAGCAAAAGAAATCAGGGAGGCGCTTCGTTCCTATGAAAGGGTTGGAGTATCTGGGAAAGAAGAGAGCAGAGAGCTTTGGGGAAGAGCTGTCTCTGTCCAAACATGGTGCTTTGCTAAGCGTGTGCTGGCTGCGTACGGCTCGCTGGGCTAAAGGGGGATGGAGGGGCCGCTGGCTTGGCAAGGCCCAGGTCTCCCATGACCAGTTTGGCTCACGGCAAGAGGACTCATCCTCTTGGATTTCACTCCAAGAAGTCACAGCTCAGTCTAACAGTGGAGGTAGAGATAGGGTTTCTGTTGCATGTGGCCGCCTCGGCCCTGCTGAGCCAGAGCTGCGGATGTGGCGTCTGTCCCCGCGGGTGAGGAGCACCCACTGCAAGGACACGTCTCCCATAGGCAGAGGATAGGCAGGTGTCCCGCAGGCAGAGCCAGGGAAGGGACGGCCGGGAAGGGCTCTGCAGGAGGCTGTGCAGGGTGGACAGGGGCTGCAGGGGCGGCAGGGAAAGGGGCTGAGCTCAGGGGAGCCTCAGGAAAGAGCCCCGACAAGGACAGGAGCATGTTGGAGAGGAGGAAAAGGCACGTGTACGTGTTTGGTTCTGACGATCACCAGAGGAAGGGTCTAGATATATCCCTTGGTCCCTCCGCTGCCTCCCATCCTAGGGACATAAAGTTGGCTGGGAGGAGACGTCGGGTGAGGAGGTGCGGTGGCTGAGGGTGTAACCTGGTGGGGCCGGAGGGGACCCACAATGGAAGGTGGGGGGAAAAATGAGAAGGAAGTGGTTCAGGTTCTTCTCTGTCTCTAGTGCCTTCCTGTTCACTCAAGGGCATTATTCATGAGGGTTTTTCTTCACTCCCAAGTCTGATAACAGCACGAATGTGAGATTTGTTAAGCACTTAGGGACCAGATCCACAAAGGTACTGGGGGAAATGTGTCCGGAATACCTGTGCGGATCTGCCTATGAGCTTTACAGGAACAGTCTGTGGCAATGTTTGTCTTAAGAAACGAGAGAGAAGAGATTTAGTTCTTTCCTTGTAATGCAGAGTGCCATGCAATTTTAATGTGTGTAGGGTTGTACTGAAGACCATGTATTATTGCTGATAAGAGAGCACACTGTACAATTGTACAGTGAGATATGTAGCAGTAAATAGCAAGAGAGAGAGATGTACAGGCTCTATATGGACTATAGTAGCTGTATATCCAGTAAGGGGAGTTTTGAGGAGGAGAACAGATAAAATATGCTGGAAGCTTCTAATAAAGGTCTATTTCATTTAATACGTTTGTGTACATTCCTGTGTCTACATTGTTTGTGTGTGAAACCATTGAATGAGCCCTGAGTTTTAAAGAATGAGAAATCAATCCATTATGTGTCTGTTGATAACAAAATGTAGGATTTGATGTGCTGGCTGAGGACCCCCGGAGGACAGAGTACGCAGGGAGATGGGCTGCTTCTCCTCTTCTTTGGCTCAGTCCCCACGCCTACCCCTCCGAGACACATCTTGGCTGTCGCGTGTCACTAACAGCCTGATCCAGAGAGCCCTGTCCTCTCTCCTGTCTCAGAAGCACTCAGGACTCGAGCGGAGTCCTGCTCTTAACCAGCCCTCCGGCCGGCTGGGACCCCCTGAACAGATGAGTGAGCACGAGTCAATGCCCAGCAGCAGCTCCCGGGTTCGGTCCATCGATCCTCATCGCTTCCCACCGCCCCTCGATTGCAGCCAGGCTCTCTGCTCTGAGCTGCACGCAGGAACGCCTGGCACCGCAGCCTGCGGCTCCGAAAAGATGCGCCCGGCAGACCTCGCTCCCTCCGCTGAGCAGGAGCGCGGCAGGCACAGGGGAGGCTGAAGTGTTCGCATATGTTCGGTTTTACTGTTTAGCCAGCCATAATCCATTAAGCGCTCTCCGCGTTCTCAGCGGCAGGTGGAAATACAGCAGCCTTGGCATGGCGGGTGGGTAATGGGGGAACAGCTGGAGGAATCGGGCAATTTCATTACGTGGGGCTTCCCTGGGAGACTGTCACGGGGGGCTGAGGGAAGCAGAAGGTCAGAGGAGGGCAGCAGACAGGTTTGCTGAAAGGAAAGGGGCTCTGGGACTGTCAGCTCCTGTCTCAGGGGGCTCTGGCTCTTCCTGCCTTGTTTTTCACACAGAGTGAAGTCCCCGGGGGTAAAGGAGGTGGCTAAATCCTGAACAGCCACTGCTGACTTCTTGCTTGGTTTGAATTTTTCCGATTTTGTGTTTTCTAGCCTTGCCACACAAATCTGGAGGAAATAATGTTTTCCCTTCACTTTGCAGGTGCAGGAACAGTGAGTTTCCCTCCCAGCCCAGTGCAGTACTCCCAGGTGCAGTGCTGGCAGTTAATAAATGATTGTCACTGAATTTAATTCTGGGTAAAGTGGTTGGAAGAGCCGTTCTGGTTTGTCTCAGTGTCTCAGGGATTACAAAGTTAGCCTGAAGATCTCAGTGGAACTGGGAGGGTTTCTGGCCAGAAACCATAATGTTGAAGACGCTTTTGATGACGTTAGCCCCTCCAGGGAGGTTTGGATGGGGCAGGGCTCTGTGCTGGGATGTGGGGAAGTCTGCGTGTACCCGTGTCAGCTGGATCTTTTCTGACTGATGCCTTTGCTTTGGGGACCTCCTCTTCCCTGGGGAAGCGGTTTTGTTCTCGGTCGCTCCTCACAAGCCAAAGCTGCAGACGTTTGCCGCGATGGGGATGCTGCCAGTTCAACTCACTGTTTGGGTGCCTTGTGAGGAATCAGAGAATCCGCCCATTGAGGCTGGGCTGGAGAACTTCACAGTGAATGTCTAGCTGCGAAATCACTGCTGGGAAGAGGCTTGTGTGTCCTGTCCTGCCACCCTTGCTCGAAGGCTCTGTGAATGGTTTTTCGCAGGACGCCAACTTGTTCTGCTGCTCGCGGACAGTCAGGCTACAGTCGGAGACTACCGTCACTTTTCCTAACCTGCACAGGGCAGGCTGCAGGAAAGCTGGTTTGGGTGCAAGTAGTAATAGCAGATACGATCCAGAAAGGAATCTGACCTAGACGTTGCAAGAACAGTAGGTAATTCTCTGCGCTCCCAGTGCTGGGAGTTTGGGCAGAAAGAAACCTTATGAAGTTCAACAAGGGTAAGTGTAGGGTACTGCACCTGGGGAGGAATAACCCCATGCACCAGTACAGGTTGGGGGCTGACCTCCTGGAGAGCAGCTCTGTGGAGAGGGACCTGGGAGTCCTGGTGGACAACAGGATGACCATGAGCCAGCAATGTGCCCTGGCGGCCAAGAAGGCGAATGGCATCCTGGGGTGCATCAAGAAGAGTGTGGCCAGCAGGTCGAGGGAGGTCATCCTCCCCCTCTACTCTGCCCTGGTGAGACCGCATCTGGAGTACTGTGTCCAGTTCTGGGCTCCCCAGTTCAAGAAAGACAGGGAACTGCTGGAGAGGGTCCAGCAAAGGGCAACAAAGATGATTAGGGGACTGGAGCACCTTTCTTATGAGGAAAGGCTGAGGGACTTGGGTCTCTTTAGTCTAGAGAAAAGAAGATTGAGGGGGGATCTTATTAATACATACAAATACTTAATGGGAGGATGCCAGGGGGATGGGAGCAGTCTTTTTTCAGTGGCGCCCAGTGATAGGACGAGGGGTAATGGGCATAAACTTGAACATAGGAAGTTCCATCTTAACATGAGAAGGAACTTCTTTACTTTGAGGGTAGTGGAGCACTGGAACAGGCTGCCCAGAGAGGTGCCAGAGAGGTGGTGGGGTCTCCCACTCTGGAGACATTCAAAACCCGCCTGGACGCTGTCCTGTGTAACGTGCTGTAGGTGACCCTGCTCTGGCAGGAGGGTTGGACTAGATGATCTCCAGAGGTCCCTTCCAACCCTAACAATTCTGTGAATTCTGTGAATTCTGTGAATTCTGTGCTCCGGTCCATAGGTGAGCCACGTGCAGCCAAAACACGGCACTCGGGGTGGGAAAAGCAGCCTCCTCGTCCCGCTGGAGCTGGGAAAGGCACAGGCACCGAGCGCCTGTTTTCCCACTCCGAGGGACTCAGGGTGTATCTCACTCTCTCAATGCCTCTATCCTCGTGCTCAAAAACTTGTGCTAAGTTTCTTCCCAGGAGAGTCCGGTACTCACGTTATGCTGTAGGTAACACGAGGTGCACATCGCCTCTACCAGCAAGTGCCCTTTGCCTGTCTGCGATAACTGGTGTCTGACCCTTCAGAGCTTGGGCTTGGTGACGTAAATGGGATTTGGCACCTCCATTGCTAAAAATTACCGAAGGTGCCAGATGATCCATCAGGTTATAGGTGCATTTCACACTCCTTTTGTTCCCTACTGGAAGAAGCGGATGAGATAAATATTTCAGAAGATAGATGTTTTCAGTCCACTGCAGAAGCGAAAAGAAATCTTGAAAGATCCTGGTGGTATCAAGAGATCAGCTCTGGGAGCGCCTACTGTGCTCAGTCAAGCAGCAGCGTCTCTGGTGTCCTTCAAGGAAACCAGCCTGGACTTGCCTGCAATTTTAATGCTTGGTTTATTCTCTGACCTTTTAAGCTCTCTCCTCTCCCTCCATGGCGAGGTCATCTTGCCTGTATCTCACCCCGGAGGGAGGAGCCAGGAACTCACCATCTTTTGCAATAGCAGCAGCCACCGCAATAGAAACGACCTTTGCAGTGCATCCTCGCTGCCGGGAGACCGTTTTCCCTTCACCGAAGAGAGCGTCAGTGCCGGAGGCGGGAGCCGTGCCATCCCAACCCCGCTTCCTCGCCTTGCACGTAGCTCCCACATCTGACACCTTGTCTTGCCAAGCGGATGAAAAAGTCAGGCAGGTGCACCCTCAAGAACTGCCCTCCCTATTTCATCCGGCCTTCGTACGCCGTGTGAGACCGTGACATATTTTGGTGGATTCCCCCACCCACAGGGCAGTGAGGGAGTTGCTCATCACAGAACCAGAGCAAATCCTGCACATCTTCAGCTCCTCGGGGCTCTGCAAGGCTGGCGCTGGGTTTTCCGAGCAAGAACAAGCAGCAGGTTCGCCCAACAGGTCCTTCCCTGACCTCAGCCGTGGTTTCAGGCAGCCGCTGACAGGAAGAGACACGTTCCTACGAAATGCTCCCGGAGGAATTCCCAAACCTCAAGCGTCTTTGCAAATACAATAAAAAGATCGGCAAGTCCCCGCACAGCGAAAAAGCGGGGCTTGGCCCCCTTCAGTGACGGGGCTTCTCCTCCAAACTCCTGAAGCCAAATAAGCAGGGGACGGGCTCCGCTATTTCTACTTCAAACCAGAAATTTTTAAAAACACCTCCCTGCTGTTTATTCTTTGAGAAAAAGAAGTTTGAACGTGTGGCTTGGAAATCAGAAAGCAGAGAGAAATACCAGCAGCCCCCGGTGGTTCGATAACTGCTCTGGTTCTCCAGCTATATTTTCAGAAGGGGGAGGGGGGGGGGCACGACCTGATTCAGGACTTTTAGCACTTGGAGGGAGTGGGGGGGGGGGGGCGAGATCATTTGTCAGAATTGTTGGCAGCCAGTATCATCTCGTGCCTTTCATCTGCCTCTGTGAATAAAGATGCAGCTCCCCTGTGACCGCGCCGGGCAGCGGGATGTGCACAGGCTTGCTGGCAGCTCCGGAGCGCTGGGATTGCAGTTTGTAGGCGACCTGGTTCAGACTATATTTCTCCTGCAGCCGGGCTGTGAAGGATGAATACACTTTTTTTTTTTATTATTTTCAGGAAACGAGGGGTATTTTGTGGGTTTACAGGTACTACAGTTTCCATTTTAATGCAACCTGCACTGAGACATCTAGTGCCACTTTAAGTAAACTCTCTGTTTTTAAATCCTGAATGTGCTGAGAAATGTGTTGGAGCAAAAGCAAGAGAGTGGGGGTTTTCGTGGTCACAAGGCAGGTGTCTGTGAACAAACACGGCCCTGTTCCCACCTGTAACGGAGCCGCCTGGGTCAGCATCTGGATAGAAAACCATTGGGGGAAAACCATCGGCCAGCAAAAACGACGGCTCACCAGGGAAACCGAGCTGTGCTGAGGAGCTTGGATGTACGTCCTGACCAAGCTGATGCTTTTGGGGGCTGGTTTGGAAACCTTTTAGGGCTTGTACGCACACATGAATTGCTCTGCATTAATTATACCAGCCTAGAAAAGCTGTACAAACTTCTAAAGTAAGGAGAGAGAGAGGGAGAGCAGGAAGAACTGCTTCTTCTCGGGGAGTTAAACCCAGCTGGAAAAGGGTGCAAGTAAAACTCCTTTAGTTGCCGTATGGCCGGGGCTGTGTAACCATTTCAGTGGCAGTTTGTTACCACAATCCTTAATTCCTACAGGGTAGCAGTGAAGAAACGGCAGGGCCGTAGCGGTCAGCATTCAGGGATGGGACACTTGTGTCCTGTTGACACCCACAACCCCTCTCTCCGTCGCTGCAAGCCCCTGATGGTGCCCGTTTGCTAAGGGCACGCTCACATTTCATCCCGAAACGCTATGTTCTGCGCCGGGCAGCAGCTGGAAGTAGCTACGCTCTGCCCCAGATACTGCAGGAACAAGGCAATAATTCAGGGGACAGACGCACGAACACAGTGATGGGGAGTTCAGGACCCGAAATAAGAGCCGAACAGACCACGGCAGCTGCGCACAAAGGCGTGCTGGAAGCGTGAGAAATGAGCAGCCCGCCTGTTGAAAGGGCAGCGTTTGAAAGAGTGACAAATTTAGCCCAGATGGAGCCGGGGAGGAAAGTTGCCACTCTGGGAGCAGGGCTTAAAATTGCTTTAGAAGCTGTGTCGTCGTCACTGCAGCGTTTCGAAACCAGCGTCTTGCACCTTGCGACTGGTGGCCCTGTGCACGCGTGTGTCACTGCCACCGACCAACACGGCGCAGCTTGGGAGAGATGTTATTCTGTTCCTCGAGCACCTCTGGCTGCAGCACGAACGCTTGCCATCTTCCCAAGTGTGGTTGCCTTCCAGCAGCCGCTGGGGTGGTTGTGCCGGGGAGGGCAAACCCTCTGCCCACTCTGCTGCTCCCAACCCTAAGACATCACTGAACTGCAGAGATTACTCTCTGCAGAGGCAGTCAGGGCAGTTGGTTTTCTGCCCAGAGCAGATGCAGGGACAGAAAGCGGCCTAAGGGCATCTGGATGCAGTCCTCAGGGCGGTATTTCCTCGCCGAGCAAGTCCCTGCCGCGGCCAGCTCCTCCTCCCAACTGGCTTTGTTAGGAAGCGGCTGCCATGGAGCGAGGTCAGACTGGCAAAAGGGGAAAGGCAGAGCCCAAAACAGCCCCGGGCTGCAGCCGGGGAGGGCTCAGCTCCATACCCGACCCCAGCGCTGGAGCCGGCCAGCGCATCCCACCCCACTTCACCCAGTTTTCCCTCAGGCTGGAGAGCAGACAGCACAGACCATCCCAAGGGATAGCATGGCACGGATACCCAGCGGCGCGAGGGCACGGAGCCATGGGGAGTCACCCACTGTTTTTTACAGAGCACCTTTCCAAGACCCCCAGAACACAGGGATGAAGCAAAGTCCGATTCGCTTTGGCATTAAAACCAGGTCTCGTTGCCTGACAAAGGCAGGGGAGACTTTGCTCTAGGATTAGGTGTTTACCAGTGCCTGACCTGACCTAGGGACAACCAGCGCTCTGGAAATCCTCCTGGAGCCAGGGCCCCAAAGTCCTCATGGGAAGAAGGGCTTTGGAAAGGACAGCAGCGACGGACAAAAATTCCCCTCCGTTAAACCAGATGACGGCAAAGAAAGAGCGAGAAGAAAAGTATTCCAGAAGAACGTGTATTGCAATTGTCCAGTCTTACAGAAATCCACCAGGGAACTTCTACAGCAATGGGGAGGGGCTTTTCCCTTTTGATACATTGCAGATATCACTGTTGAAACCCAATTAAGACCATCAAGGTGACCATCTTCAAAGCCAACGTGTTCACAGGAGCTCATGAGCATGGCTGCCCCCCAGCGTACTACGTGCTTCTGATGTTCCCTAGTGTGATTTTGTTCTGAATAAATAGATCCTTTGGGGGTTAAGTTATTAGGTACAAATCTTCCCAAAATGAGAGTAAACCTGAAACGAAACAATAACGGCAAGAAGACCCAAACCCACACACACACGAATGTGCAGACAGCTGCCCATTCTACAGTACCGAACGCCATCCACAGCTAGAAAATTAAATACATCTTCAACTCAGCCACATTTACACGTTAAATACATATAATCCACTCAAACCTTGCATGTAAACTTTGTTGGATACCTTCTGAAAAAAAATAATACATGTAAGCACAATGTAATTCGTAGATATTCAAGTACAGAGAGCTCCTGGATTGCTTTGTTTGCACCAGTGAAAGAATGAAAATAGAGATTTTGCTAAATATGTTTGGTTTGCAGCCTCTTTGGGGAACAAAGGTTAAGAATTTAGAGCCTCAGGTAAAAACATTTGGATCTGCTGCTGACCTTATATGTGCTAAAGGATCTGGCCTAAGAGGCTGGAAAACAACAGCACTGAGACTCTGTCCCCTCTTGTTTGTGTCCCGGTCTCGCTGCTGCTCTGGAAGGGGGAAAAGAGAGGTGGCAGCCCACCCTGGCACGGCTCTGATCACTGGAGCGTTCTGGCTGTGGTGAATTTGGCTTGTAGTGAATCTTCTCCCTTCCCTCCCTGCCTAGATATTCACGGGCAGCATTTAGCGCGAGTCCGGTACCGTGCAGAGGGGTGGGAGGAAAGGACGCGGTCCCGTAAGAGGAATCCGGGGCGCCTTTTCCAGGGAAGACCTCGGTAAACACAAGCACCTCGGCATATTTGCTGGCAGCACATTTCTTGCTTCCATCTGCCAAGGTGGCAGGCTCATAATATTTGGCAGGCCACCACCACGGTTTGGAGCCAGCACGGGCAGAATTATATAATATTTTTTTGCATAAAATGGAAAGAACATCCCATTCTGCCCAGATCTGGATGATTTTTTTTTTTTTTTTTTTTTTTTTTTTTTTTTTTTCTCCATCTCTGGCAGATAACTCTGATCTTGCAGGAAGACAATCCTACGAGCGTGGCTATTGCTACCAACCTTATATATACCACGATGGGGCATGTCTCGTGCATCTTTGCAGACTTGACAGCCCAACGGGGTAAGGTTTGGCTTTAACAGCTATTCTCAGGGATCAGCAGATCCTCAAAATGACCTGGCTCTGGGAAAAATGAAAATAATCAAACCAACCCAGCCCTTTTCTTTGGCCTTTGAGTGTCCGCTCCGTCCGAACACCCAGTCCCTTTTATCTGAGGGAGCCTGACCAGCTTTTTGTTCTTCCTTTCATTTCCAGGGGGGCAATGCTGTTCCCTGGCCAGGGCTCCCCGGGCAGGGGCAGCCGCCGGGCGCGCGCGGCGCACACGCTGCTCCTCCGGGTCCACAGAGGCTGTCGCTTTTGTGCTTTACCCCCATCCTCAGATTTAAGGGAGAATTTTGAACTCTGGACCTGCCAGGACATGGGAACCAGCCTTTCGCAGAGCCTTTCGCTTTGTACGCCCCAGAAAAGAGCCCAGAGGGGCTTTTCCGTGCCTGGCTGTGGAGGGGTTGGTTCCCTCAGGCTTGGTAAAACTGCTGGCCGAGAGCCGGGGAGGCGTGCGGAGTGCCCGGCTCCTTCCCCTCGGCTTCCCACAGGTTGTCATAGCTGAAGTCGCTCTGGAAACTCTGGAGCTCGGCATAGTCATGGTAGTCGGGGTGCGGGCAACTGGCCTCTGGCAGGTCGTAAGTGCCGAAATTCCCATCTGCAGAAAACCAGACCGAAGCGCTCAGAGAGCTGATGAGCAGCCCCGGCGGCTGCAGTTCCCTCTGCCATCAGAGAGATGTTGTCAGCAAAATCGCAGTCCCCTCTGCCAGCAGAGAGATGTTGTCAGCAAAATCGCAGCCCAGAAGCAACTAGAGCTGGGCAAAGCGGTGGAAGCTGCAAGCGTGCCATAGACCAAACCACAAGCCCCCACGCGTGATGGGTGGCCAGAGCCAGTGGAACCCAAGTGGAACCCAAGGCAATGGTCTCCACCAGCCAGCAGGGGCTGGGTGACGGCTTCGGTCCCACCACAGGGAAGCAGGAGGAAGGCAGGGCATGTGTGAGTCCCTGTGCTCCCTCTCAGCCCTGCTTTGAATGAGACTGATGGAGATGGACACCGGCGAGGCAGGGTGGGCAGCAGCACCCAGCCACCAGCGCAAGACTCTCACCTGGGGGCTGCAATGGAGGGCCCAGATGTTCCTCTCGTAGAGAAGAGACCTGAAAAGAAAAGAGATAAGCCGATGAGGAGGACTTAGCACTGCAGTCCTGGGGTACCGCACACCAGGAATCGGCCCTTGGTGTTGATAGCCGGCTGAACATGAGCCAGCAGTGTGCCCAGGTGGCCAAGAAGGCTAACGGCATCCTGGCCTGTATCAGGAATAGTGTAGCCAGCAGGACCAGGGAGGTGATTTTACCCCTGTACTCGGCACTGGTGAGGCCACGTGTTGAGTACTGTGTTCAGTTTTGGGCCCCTGACCACAAGAAGGACATGGAGGCCCTGGAGCGTGTCCAGAGAAGGGCAACGAAACTGGTGAGGGGTCTGGAGCACACGTCTGATGAGGAGCAGCTGAGGGAACTGGGGGTGTTCAGCCTGGAGAAGAGGAGGCTGAGGGGAGACCTTCTCACTCTCCACAACCATCTGAAAGGAGGGTGCAGAGAGGTGGGACTCGACCTGTTCTGTCAAGTAACAGGCGATGGAACAAGAGGAAATGGCTTCAAGTTGTGCTAAGGGAAGCTTAGATTGGATATTAGGAAGAATTTCTTTACTGAAGGGGTCATGAGGCACTGGAACGCGTTACCCAGGGCAGTGGTGGAGTCCCCATCCCTGGAGGGATTTAAGGGTCATGAAGAGAGAGTGCTCAGGGACATGGTTTAGTGGTGGGCTGGTCAGTGTTAGGTTAACGATTGGACTAGATGATCTTACAGGTCTTTTCCAATCTAGGAGATTCTGGGGTTCTGTTGGTTCCCCCATCCCTGCTCCCCAAGATGCGCCCCGTCACAGAGCAAAGGGCTCACAGCCCTGCCGTGCCCAACTGCTCTTCCAGCCTGGAAAAAGGCAAGCTGGGACCCCTGTGTATTCCCCCGCAGCCTGCATAGCGTGGGGCACTAGGACTGCATTTACAAACTCACCTCTTCGAGATAAGCATCAGCAGGAGGCCGCAGCTGGAGATGGCATGACCCGGCCGGGCTGTAACTGGGAGCCGCAGGCACCTCTCTGCAGTGACTGCTGGGCAGGCGCTGGCAGTTCCTCTTCTGCAGAGAGAGATGCTGGAGTACCGGGAGACCTGAGCATCCGTCCGCCTGTGCCGAACCCGTCTGGCCATGACACTGCAGGAACTTAACCAAAAAACCCTCTAGCTTTGATACCCGCTATGGAGAGTTGGGGAACACCGACCTGCTGCTTCCCCACTGTAAGCCCGCCCTGCTGTGAACAGGCTTACACAAACCGAGATTTTTCTGCCTGCCTCACAAATTCTACCGTATTCCGATCCTGAAGGCCTTAGACGGGAAAGGAAGAACGGCTGTGGGTCACTCGCAATGACCCACTGAGGTAGTGGAATTTGGGCAGATGTGAGGGCAGTAGGATGAAACCTACCGGCAGCTCAGGGGATGAGGATAGACAGGGAGCAGTCAGGAAGAACCCTCCCCGGGAAAGGAGGACTTTGGCAGTATGGGGGATGTCAGCCACAGACTCAGAAATAGGCTTTTCCCGAGAGACGCGCAAAACTGAAAACGTAGCCTTCAACAGGCACTCAGTTATCACAGCTGGAATTTTTGGTGGTGGATAAAGTGGTCTCTGGCTCTGACTCATTTCTAGTTTCTGCAGACTGGATTGCATCTCAGTCTCAGTTTTGTGGTTTCTGGCTCTTCCCGGGACTGTAGTGACGCTGGCATCTAGTGATAAGACAGGGAAAACCTGTTCCCCTCTGACTCTGTCCTGGCTTGAAAAAAACAGGGAACTATGTCGTGCCCTACCCCACCCCGAAATGGGTTTCCACATCCCGCTCAGGCTCAGGCAGACAGCAGGAAAAGAAATGGCCCCAGGCACGATTTCGGGAGCCAAAAGCCTGTGTGCTGAGTCAGGGCCGTAACCGGCAGCAAACGCAGCGGGGGTACCTCTTCCACGAAGCTGGAGCCTGCCACGCTGCGAGCGCTGGGGGAGCTGGGCGTATAGGGGTCAGCGTACAAGGGGGAGCGGGGCATGGCCGGCTTCTCCAGGGAGCTGCAAGCTGTCGAGGGTTGACTTCCCACCAAGCTCCATCCGTTCAGCTAAAAGGCAGAATTGAAACAGGAACGTGACACGGCGGACTCACCGGTTCAAGACAGACAGGAAACTGCTGGAGAGAGTCCAGCGGAGGCTACAAAGATGCTCAGGGGACTGGGGCATGTCTCTGGTGAGGAAAGGCTGAGAGCCCCGGGGCTGTTCAGCTGGAGAAGAGAAGGCTGAGAGGGGATCTCATCAATGCTGATCCCTATCTGCAGGGCGGGTGTCCAGAGGATGGGGCCAGACTCTTTCCAGTGGTGCCCAGCGACAGCACAAGGGGCAACGGGCACAAACTGGAACATGGGAAACTCCATCTCAACATGGGGAAAAACTTCTTTGCTGTGAGGGTGGCAGAGCCCTGGCACAGGCTGCCCGGAGGGGCTGTGGAGTGTCCTCTGGAGACATTCCAAACCCGCCTGGATGCGTTCCTGTCCATCCTGCTCTGGGTGACCCTGCTCTGGTGGGGGTTGGACTGGATGATCTCCAGAGATCCCTTCCAACTCCTGTCGTGCCATGATTCTGTGTGATTCTGTGTTCCCTACTTGCAATCCATCAGAGCTGGGAATCTCCCTGCAATTCAGGTCCCAAAAGCCGCTCAGCCATGAGGGATGGTGGCGCTGACCCCCGGCGGTGCTAACAAGGGGACTTCCCTGGGCGTACGGCAGACACGCACTCATTGAGGGGAGGGCAACACGGCATCACGCACTAAACCAGTGATGGACACATGCTGGAAAGCCCTCAGAAGGAGAGGCTGTGTCCTATGAAGTAATAACGCTCCTACTTGCAGGGCACTGGAGCTCGTGTTGCCTCAGGAATGAGCGCCCAACATCTCAGGGCTCCAAGAGCCGTTGCTCCGTTTAACCTCACCTCCCGTGGGCCGTTTTCAAATGGAAACGGGTTTCACGCCTGCCCTAGAGCACCATTCAGGACAGCTATCCCTGCAAGCACGGATAAGGAAAACGCAAACCCTGCACCAGTTCCCCTGCTGGTCCACCCTTCCCGGGCAGGAGAGCAGCCCCACCACGTCCCAGTCCCCTTACACTGCTCAGGTCCAGGTGTGGCGGGGGAGCCGCCGGGTGATGCTGCGAGCTGTGTGGGGCGTACGGCTCGTTGTACACCGAGGTCAGGAACTCGCCGTTGGGGTTTTCGGGGATGAGGCTGCAGATGGTCCTCTCCGTGTCCTGGCTGGGCAGCTGCTGGCCACATTTGCCCTTGGACTTTCTGGCGCTGCCCCCCCTCCGCAGGTCCTGCGCGGGCAGCCCCGTGCTTGGCCAGTTGGCGTGTGCCAGGCACTGAAACGAGAAGGCAGACCCCCGGTGCTGGCTCTCCTCGGGCCAGCCCCAGGTACGCAGATGTCCCCTGCTAGGGATGCTGCTGCGGGCATCGCGCGGCGCTCCTGTGTCAGCGCGGTCCTGCGGCCGTGCCCGTGCCCCACACGCTCCTCCCCGTGCACGCACACACACCTGGATGTGCGAATGCTGCACGGAGTCAAAGCAAAGACCTGCTCAGCCCATCACCTCCCACCCACCCGCGGGCTTCTACTTTGGGATTTCCTGACCTTCGAACGGTCCCCTTTGTCCTTTTGCAATCTGTACCAACAATCCTTATGCGGCGTGGAGTATCGGGATGGGACCCTTCCGCGGACTTTTCCTTTATCAGCAATGACAAAGCTGAGCCGGGACAAACACAGGCTTCCAGGCATGGATTTGCTTTGCCGCATACAAACACCGACCACCCCAGCTCAGCCCATCCGGGCAACTGGATAGACCGCTCTGCTCAAAGGCAGTGTCTGTCCCCACACACGTCCCAGGCATTTTTGGGGGGTTCACTTACACGGAGAGGCTGGGAATAGCCAGAGGAGAGGGGGTCTTCGAGCCCCCTGCTCTCGGGCATCAGCACGAAGGACTGTCCATCGGGGAGAGAGCCGCTGTTCTGGGAGACGTGTGTTAAGGTGGCCACTCTCCCTCCCGACGCCCAGGAGTTTGTACGGCCATCAGAAGTGAGCGACCCTCTCCCGCTGCCGGCAAACTGGATGGGGGAGAAGACCAGCACATAGGAACAGCCCCACGCGTGGCTGCAGGCACGTCCCTCCCCAGTCCCACCTCCCACCTGAGCATCACTGGTCCAACCCAGCCCTCCGTGCCCACATGCCGCGGGCAGACCGGGGTCTAGGCTGTGCCCGCATGGCAGCCGTGCCCGTGCGGCGGGGTGTGCTGCCCTCTAGGGCTGAGTGGGTGGCCGAGGCCGGCTGGCAGGAGTGACGGGGCGAATGACGAAGGCTCGCAGCGGGGTGAAGGGTGCTCAGGCACCCCGACCCCATCCCGGCTGCAGCGCTGGCAGGGGGGGTCTCCCCTTCCTTGCAAGACACTCTTAATGTCCTTTTTCCGCCAATGCTTCACTGCACAATGCTGTCATAGCCTACGGCCCGGGGTCTGCTTTTGAAGGAATTTAATATAATACATCCTATATAATGTAATACTGGGCTTCAAAGTAATTTGCGGGGATCAGCAACCTCATCATAGCCGTTGAGCAGGGGACTTGAAGCAAAGTCTGTTGCGTCACAGGAAAATTCACACGTGGCCAGAGACAGGACAGATGGGAGTCCTGGGAGACATCTTATTGATGACCATACAAACCCGCATCATCTGTTACCTGGCCGGGGTGTGGCAGCTTTGATCCCGTGAAACTCTCCGATCCGGAGAGGGAGGAGTCGGCGTTTCGAAACTGGGCTGTTTTGAGACAGTAGAGCCACTCCTGGTAATCATCGTAGCTGCGGCAGATCACCCGGATCGAATTGATTAGGCGGCCTGGAAAAACATCACTCGCTGCCGTTACCGGCTTTGATCCACAGCCCGTGTCCCTTCCTGCAGAAACCCGCGGGAATCCCTTTGCTCCATCCCTCCCCACGTTCTCCCGGGATGCGGAGACCCTGACACCGGTGCAGGGACAACGGGAACGCCGTACCTTCGGTGCTGCCCATTGGCACCTGGCCGAAATGTAGGACAGGGACAAACACAGCCCACATCTAAATGAGGGGGAAACAAGCACAGCTCGGGGTGCAAACGCTGCTGCTGGCTCACAGCCTCTCCCCACCAGCAAAGCCGGGCTCTGCCGGGCAGCCAGGGCACAGACGGTCCGAAACTTCCAAGCAGTTCAGTTCAGAGAGTTTAGGTGCCGACGTGAGCGAGCACAGCCAGGAAGATGACCAAAGCGGCTTAGCGAAACCCAGAGACCTCCGTGGCTGCTGCCAGCACACCCCTCGGCATGCCGGACACGCACCTTCTATTAAAAAGGAGGTTTTCTCGTTCTCTTCAAAAAGCACCTGGATGGCGTTGAGCGGCAGCTCGCCCTGTCGAGAGAGAAGCAGGCTTAGGACCGCACGGCTGAGCGCAGCTCCCAGCCCGGGCCGTACGGCGGACAGGCGGAGCGGGGAGAACAACCTGGGAGTTTGGTGGGACAAGGCTGGGTCGATCTGCTGGAGACAGGATTCTCCAACACGCCTGTGACAGTATAGAGGTACCCAAGTCCTCACCCAGATTAGCACCGGCTTAGGTGCCTCTCGTCTCCTGCAGACCTAGCCTAGGGGATTTAGGCACCGAGCCTCACCTTTCTCCTCTCCCCTTCCCCGTAGAAGGGATTGCCAGTGCTGGTTGCAAGAACAAAGTCTCTGAAGCCAGCGGGACTGCGCGAGCCTTTTCTGTAAACTTTGTTCCTACAAAGTCCCTCCTGAGACCCGAGCTCGGGAAAAACACCTCTTCCCTTCTAAGTCTGTTTTCAACGGTTTCTCATAGTTTAATGCCTGACTTCTCCAGGAGAAAAAAAAAAAAAAAAAAAGCGAACGTAGTCCTGAACAAGGTTTTGGTTGCTGGATTGGGACTTCCAGCCCTGCAAGCAGGAATCCCCGCAATCCATACCCTGCAAAATCTTACAGAGGCAGGGTTGAGCCCTGTAAACGCCAGCTGGTGAAACGTGAGCGCTTGTGCTATACAGCACAGTTGCGAACGCCACTCCAGTGATGGGAGAGGGGTTTGCTGCGGGCAGGCACTGCGTGGATGTTCCTATCAGCAGGGAGCTAAAGCAGCCCCTCCCTGGGAAAAAAAATGGAGTTAGGAGATACCACGTGCTATCGCCCCTAAACGCAGTAGCGCCTTTGCGTTGCACATCCACAGGCGGTACCCAGACCTCTCCTGCTCCTGCCGCTGCGCCCCATCCTCAGCACAGCATCACAGCCCTCCTCTGCTGCCAGGTGGTCCTTCAAGTGTCATCGCTGACAGTTTAATTCTCTGTGATGGGCACCCCGACAGAAGGGCCAAGGGTTTGTCAACACAGAATTAGGATCTAGGTCTCCTCTTTCTTTGGGGCTGATTTTTCCTTACAGAAAGCAAACAACAATAGTCCTGGGAGAGCAGCTGGAGCAGATTTTCACAGAATCACAGAATGGTCAGGGTTGGAAGGGACCTCTGGAGATCATCTAGTCCACCCCCCCACCAGAGCAGGGTCACCTACAACAGGTTGCACAGGACGGCGTCCAGGCGGGTTTGGAATGTCTTCAGAGTGGGAGACTCCCCCACCTCTCTGGGCAGCCTGTGCCACTGCTCCACTACCCTCAAAGTAAAGAAGTTCCTCCTCATGTTAAGATGGAACTTCCTATGTTCAAGTTTGTGCCCATTACTCTTCGTCCTATCACTGGGCACCACTGAAAAAAGACTGTTCCCATCCCCCTGGCACCCCCCCTTTAAGTATTTGTAAGTATTAATAAGATCCCCCCTCAGTCTTCTTTTCTGTAGACTAAAGAGACCCACTGGACTCCGTTTTGCACTGGAACCATCTCACAGATGACCTCATTGCATTACTTCTCACCTCTCTCTCTCTCCCTGAGCAGGGGGAAACCGAGTGGCACATAGTTTCTTTGTTCCTTCTTCACCTCACCTGGACGTCACCCTAACCCTGTCCGTGGGCACGGAGCGCTGGGCAGGGGCAGCTGGTGCCAATGGCCCTGGGAGCAGCTCCTAGCCGGGATGGCAAACACGGGGTCTGGGGAGAGCTCAGGAAACGAAGTTCCCACCTCGTGCCTCTCTCCCCCGTGCCCGGCGGCGGAGGAAGCGCAGAACGCAGGAGCGAAGCCCTGTCATTTAACCGATGGTGCAACCGGTCAGGATTCATTTGCCTAAGTTCCCAGGCTGCAAAACAAAGGGTCTAGCAGAACCCCCTCATCACGGCCTCGCTGCAAAGCTGTCCCAGCTGCACAGGCTCTGGGGAACGTGCCCGACGTGACGGCTTTGCCACAAGGCAAACGCGGAGCTCAGCCGGGTGCCGGTGGTTTGGGCTGGCCGGCCGCCTCTCCGCAGCAGCCCGTGGGCACACGCAGGCTTCTGCGGGATGTCTCCTGCACTGAAAGTGATTTATGGGCTGAGCAGCACGGGAAGGCTGACCTTGGGAGGGAAAGCTCACGCAGCGCTCGCGCTGGCAGAGATGGACTTCGAGGCTTCAGCCGGCGCAGGTGCTGCAGGGCTGTGTGTGGAAGGGACCGGTGCCGCCTGCTCCTGCTGCTCCTCACCTCTCCGGCACATTTGAGCAAGACCTCCTGCCACCGAGGATGAGGACGGCAGCGGAGGGCTTCCCCGAGGCGCCCGGTGCTCCGTCCTCCCTACCACAATGGCCCCGTGTCCGCTGAAACACCCCGGGGCTGGAGTCCCACCTAGGGAAGCGCAGCGGCATCCCTCAAATAACCCACACGTCGGCTGCGGAGAGCCCCTCCAGCCTTCCCCGGGAATGGCATAAACCTGTCTCCCCCCTCCAGCAGTTCCCCTCTTGCTGATTTACACCTCCCCCGGGGCCTTTTCCCACCAGCGGTGCCCCATCCCGGCAGGCTCAGCCCCTGCCTTCCCCATCCCCGTCCCACACACAAACTTGGCAGCGCCCGCTCCTGCGGTTTGTATGAAACCGAAGAACAAAAGGGCCGGGCTATTCCTTCACACACAAATTGTAGGGCTCAGCGTCTGCTCGCGGGGAAGGGAAGTTAATTTGCAGAAGCTCTGGGAGAAGGCTCCTGTGCCCGGACATGCCTGTGGAAAATCAGGTTCCCACTGCGGTGTCACAGGCTGGTGAGTCACCTCCTCTGCCTGCGCTCGGCTGCGCAGCGCCCTGCCATCACCCCGGCGAGCGAGACGCCCGGGGACCAACGCTCCGGCACCGTGGGAAGGGAACATTGCGCGGACAGGGCAGACAAATCTGGTTTAAGGTTTCAAAAGAGATGAGTTAATCTGAGAGCCCAGCCCAAGGCCCCCTTACGCGGCGCCCCATTCCCAGGAGCTGCAAACAACACGTTCCCGAAAACAAGCTCTGTCTGAGGTGTGTCACACAAGCCACCAGCTGCTGGAAAACACCCTCCGCTGTTGCACTGGGGATGGAGGAGAGCTCTCACTGGCACGTCTCCCTCCTCACACCCCTGCCTGTTGCAGCCATCGCCCTTGGGCAGGGAGATGCTCGATGCAGGTCTTCCCAGTGGGTAGCCCTTGAATTAAAAGCAGCCTGCACGGCCCGGGGCCTGATGGGGATGTGGTGAAATCATGTGAAGAAGGACCCCAGTGAGTTCACGCTGAGTTTCACAAGCCCTCAGTCTCTGCGGGGTTTCCTTGTCACCGGCTCCTCTCCCATAGAATCACAGAATCATTGCGGTTAGAAGGGACCTTTAAGATCAAGTCCAACCATTAACCTAACCTGACAAAACCACTTCTAACCCACGTCCCCAAGTACCACATCTACCCTTTTTTTAAATACCTCCAGGGATGGTCAATCCACCACCTCCCTGGGCAGCCTGTTCCAATGCTTAATAACCCTTTCAGTGAAAAAAATTCTCGCTGAAATAACCCTCTCGGTGACTACGGAGCAGCAGCTCTGCTCCGCCATGTGCCAGTGGTGCTGCACGTGCGGGTTCATAGACGGTTCAGCGCTCGTTTTTGGCACTTTTGTTCCAGCACGGGAGAAACGGGGCCAGAAAGCACAGGGCTGTTTAACAGCCATGGCAAGGATGTCTTAAGATGGATGTCAGCAATCAAGTTTAAGCGCCATTCAGACTTCAAGCAATGCGAATGCTGAGGCTCCCAGCATTGCTCCTACAAGCAAAGACACACCAGTGGACTGGAGAAGCTCGTCTCACATCCCCTCGGGCACTCAGACCTCCATGTCCTCGTTGGCCCTTCTGCTGGCGTTGCTCAGGGCTCTTGTCCCGCCGAGGGATAGTGCAGCAAACGCGGTGCACCGGCAGCAGCATCTCCTCTCCGCCCGCCAGCCAACTAACTGCCTCTGCCCTTCCCCACGAGCATCAGAGGTGCTGCCTGGATGCTACCCGCTCCCGAGTGGTCCCACAGAGCGGGAACTGGGAAGCAAATCCCCCACGGGGGCACTTCACTGGGGCTGTTCCAGCTCCCGTCTCAAGCCGGCTCCTGTCTCCCTGCCAGCACCGCCGCACAGGAACCCCCCAGCCTCCCTCCTCCCCGAGACTCAGATTCCTTGGCAGCCAGCTCCTTTCCCCCGCCGGGCTTCGGTAGGAGGGCAAGGTGTTTCTCATGGGAAGATAGCTTGCAACATCCCTCCGCCGGCTCACCTGCCAGCTGGCAAGGGAGCAGCGGGGAGGGAAACCCTTTGCCAACACGAGGAGCACCAGGGAACCCAGGTGGAGGGGAGCAACAAGCCAAAGAAGCGCTGAATTAGCCGCTGTGGATGGGTAAGAGCAGGAAGGGGGTCCAAAATGAACTTACCTTAAAACAGAGGCCGTTGCGCTCTGCCGATACTATCACCAGCGTGGACGGGTAAAGCACCAACAGCCGGTCGTGCTGCTCCTTGGGAGGTAAAGAGGAAGAGGGTTCCCCGTGAACAGCCAGACAGGGCTCCCGTCGGGAGAGCCCTTTACTTTGTCTCTCTGACAGCAGCCCGAGGCAAAGGCTCTGCAAACAGCCGAGCTGCGTCCCCGCAGAAGGCTCCACGGGAGATTCCTGCCAGCTCCAGCTGCTGCCAGCCCTGTCCTGCAAACGCTTACGCACGTGCTGTCCTCGAGCACCACTGCTGGGCCCCGGGAGCTGTACCAAACCTTTCTCCGTTTACCGGGATGTGGGTAAAATGACCCTTCAGGGCCCCGTTGGATGAGCGGCAGCAGGTCGGCAGGAGTCTGTGCTCCTCACTCCATACATGACCTTCTCCCAGCCACGCTGCCAGGAGGTTGCTCCCCAGAGATGTGTCCTACCTGGAAAGGCAGATGCTGAAGCTTCACTTTGGAAACGCAGAGGACATCGCCTAGAGATTCCCGCTGGGTCCCTCTCCACTCCTGGACAGGCATGTTCTGCACGGACCACCGCAGCTCCTCTTTCCCCATGGAGCTCTGCTTCCAGTCGTTCTAGGGACAGGAGCAGAACTGAGAAGCAGGGTAGACATGTCCTCCCCTAAGAGTTTACCTACTGCACGGCCCGTCTCAGGACACTTTTCAAGTGTGGCAGAAGTCGGGAAGAATAAATAAATCTGTGCAGGAGCCAGTTTTCCAGCTGGGACTGAATAATCATAGCTGGTACCTAGCATCAGCTGTACACTGCCTTTCAAAGGGGAATACCTCTGCTTTACAGGGGGGGGAGATGGAGACAGGGAGGAAAGCAAAACACCCCCCAGGGACTGGAAGAGAAGACAGGTTTCTTGAATCTGGTGCTGTTTTCTCGGTCCCGGTCCCAGTCTCCTCCTTCAAACGTTTTGTAAACTCTGGATAATTACACAAACAGCCAACTGTGTGAGAATTTCTCCGAAGCGGACCCAAACCTCTGACCCTCCAGAGGCTGTGATGGTGACACCTCTGGGCGGCAGGTCTCCCTTCCAGCACCCCCCCCCACTGCCAGGCACTCATGCGAAGCGCACCCTTCTTTCTCTTCGCACCCTTCCCCGGCAGGAGACTGCAGAAAAGCCAAGCTGTGTGCGCACACGCAGGCAGCAGGAACGCAGCACGCTGCTGTCAGGTCCCAGCAGTACAGAGCCCCTTTGGGCTTTGCCATTCGGACCGAAATCCCACATTCGCTCCGACTCTGGTTGCACAAACCTAAGCCCCTAAGGACACCCGAACACAAATAACACGGTTCCTCCACCGGGCAGAGGAGTTCCCAAGCGAGAACGCGTCTGTCAAGTGTGGGCAATTAGCAAATGTCTATCCATGGTTATTTTAGGGGTGGTGGAATAACTAAAGGAAGCGAGGGCTGTGAGGTGTATTGCCCAGGGCCAGCTCCAAGCACTGGCAAACAAGTAGGTGCCTCGGGCAACAAGCAGCCGGGGCCACACAGGGGCCCTCACCACGCTGCTGCCCCGGCCCCCGGCGCTGACATGGCTGGTACGTGCTGCTGGTGGAGAGGGGTCAGTGGCCATGGGTGAAAAGGGCTGAATTAGACCGTGCACAGCCCCGGCAGCTGCTGGAAGTGGTACGAGTGGCACCAAAACCCCCATGTGCCACGCCAGAGGGGCAGCTCCCCGACTGCTGTAGCGAAGCACTCAAGCATCTGGCCTGGAAAAAGGGGGTATTAGGCCAGGAGTTAACCTCACACCTCCTTCCAACAGTCTGGAAGAGCAGCAAGCACAGCAAGGAACATTTGGAAGTGGACCCGGAGCCCCTCTCCCTTTCCATCCCCAGCTCTCTGCTCAAGCTCTCCAGCCCGGAGGAGGCAACCAGAGCCCCACGGGGCACTCAGGATTCTGGAAGAGGAAGGTGTTAGGTGAGCTCCTAGAAGTGTGGTGAAAATGGCTGAGAGAGTTTGGCTGCAGAGATTATCCCTCCCACGGAAGGCAGCAGGAGCCGCGCAGCATCCACCCGGTCGTTCAGCTCTGAGCCCACAGCGCGGGAAACGGCTGCGCACTTCACCGTCCCGAGACACCAACCTGAGAGAGGAAGGGCAAGCCAAGGCTTCCTCCGTTTAGCTGGATCTGTTTCTCCAGGTGATAAAGCCACTGCTTCAGCTCTGACTCAGTAGGGCAGAACACGATAAGGGGATTCAGCAGAGGACCTAGGTATGCGAGACACAAGATGAGCTGAGCAGATAACGGTACCAATCGCAGCATCGATCAGCTGGCCAGAGCTGTTATGCTCGGCACATCACACTGTGGGTTGCCTGTGAGGGCATTGCTCTGTTGACATCGTGCTCCAGTCCCTCCTGCCACTACCCTCAGCACGTGTCCTCGCATCGCGCTGCCGGGGAGCTGCACGGCATGGACTGCTCCAGCACCTCCTCACCGCCTGCTCGTGCAGCCACATCTACCTCTGACCACCAGTCACTTTTCAGTCCAAAACTAGGTCAAGAACAAAAGTCAACGACAGTACGGAAGTCAAACTGGAAATCAGCGGACAGATTTCAGCTTTAAAAGTCCCCAACAGGTTGTGAACAGCATCTCTGCGGGCAGAGACTACCACAGCACGCTGCCGCAGACAGCCTAACCCGATGCAAAAGTTTCGTGGTATTTCTTAGTTTCACTTTGGCACTGAGTAGAACATCGGTAACTTTCTGACACTGTTTATTTATTACTTCACCAAATATAATCTGTGCCAGACAAGATGAAGCTACTCTCAGACACACTCTTGAAGGGAGGAACAGCCCTATATCGTATTGATTTTAACGTCTCCAACTATCATTTGCTTAGTAGCGTGAGCAAAAAAGTCTCACCCACCCTCTGCTACTCACCACAGACATAACCTAGTGACGTTAATAATAATTTCTGCAGGGTGCAGAATGTATGTTATGATTAATAATTTACCAGTGATCTCATATTACACCATATTTGGTGCACGCTCAGTAAGATCTGGCTTTGCGGGACTTGGAAGTACTCAGATAAGCAAGTGCATTGGATAAGCATGATACTTTGCCCTTCTGTGGAGTCTTTCATGCCATAATTCCCGCATTATTTATGAACAACAGTCAATTAAGACTTTGAAACATCTCTGTCTGTCAGGAAATGCACTAATATAGACAAAGCAGGGGTGGAGAAACTGAGGCAGAGACTCCCTAAATGACTTTCCATAAGTCACTCAGTTCAGATCCGTTGCAATAATGAGGTGTCGAGCATCACCGCACACCCAAGTGTCTATGTACCACTGTGGCTCTGGAGTTCTCTTGTCTCCTCTTGCCTTGGTTTCCCTGTCTTTGCATTGGAGATGAAGTGATTCCCTACTTTATGGAGCTGCTCGGAGGGTAGAAAGGTGCTGGGGTTATCTAGATATTCTGGCAGCTCTGAATACCTCTCCGGGCATCCAGGCCCTGATACAAACAGCAGTAATGTTGCGGGTAGGGCATGACCCTTCCCCTGGCACCTCCTCCAAGGGCAGCCTTTCAGACGTACCCTGAGGGCTGCTCGCGTTGCCACATCTAAACGGGGCCCCAAAGGAAGAGAAAATGAGAAAAGAAACGCTCCTGCCTAAGCCTGAAGCCTGAGCCATGCCTGAAGCTCGTGGAAGGAGCTGCTGGGGAGGCCGTGACGCAGAGCCTGCAAGGCTGCTGCTAATTCGGTCGCTGCCATTTCCCGCAGCCCCAAGGGCACGTTCGCGGCAGGGCCATGACACAGCCCCGCTGAGCAACCTGTGCCGGCCCTCGTGCTCTTTTCTTCTGCCCTGTCCTTCCTCTTTCCTTGTGAGTGCTTCCAGAGGAACATGGGAAGCAAGCACGCCCCTTCCCAGAACAGCAGCAGTTTTTTCCCCCCCAAATCTCTCTGTCCAGAGACACTAAAAAGCTGCAAAATTTGCAGGTGAGGAGGCAGAGGTAACTCCAGGTGCTCAACAACTTCATCAGCATCGGAGGGTGAGCAAGAGGTGGACCGCAAAGCCAAGGTGATGGCCAACCGCCGTCCAACCAACCGCCATGGCACCAAGGGAAGGCAGTGCATGCCGACGGGCTTCCTTCTCGCACTCCACCTCCATACTCCCGATGACTCTGTCGGCATCTTCTGATGTCCTGAACTACCCTACAAAGCGCAGTTCACGGGGAACTGCTGCTGCCACGGGATTTCTCAAGAGAATGGATGCGTGTCTTCTGAGTCTCAGAGTCATGAGACAAAAGACTTCCACCCTGACCCTGCGTGAGGCTCTTATCCCCTCCGTCCCTCGATTTCTCCCCTTCTAGCAGAAAAATAAAACTGCTCCACTGATCTCCCGGCAATTCTACATATCGCTACCTCCCCGGTTCCTCCGTGTCACTGCTCCCTCATATATACAGCACTCTCTGT